ACAACAATCCTGCCAGTCCCCACAGAAAAGGGACTGGCTGCTCTGTAAGGGACATCGGCGGTTCTTTACACCGACCAAAAAGCTCGAAACCTTCTGTGCGGCGATTTCTGTGCAATGCGCCAGGTAATGCGGCCGTGCTGGACCAACAGCTTGGCCTATTGGCTCAGACGTGGCTTGGTCGGATGACGGGGAATCGGCGCAGTCGACTTGAGTTGGATCAGTGAAGGAGGTGGTGAATATTGTTTATCTGAATCCTGCCTTCAATTTTAAATTTAACTACTGTGTTTGTTCTATGGTTGCTTTGAGTTGTTGTTTAATCCAAACGGGTAGACTCAGTGCAATTCTTGGTTCTCATAATTCGCCATCTCCGGTCTGATCCCCAAGTCTTGGAGGGCCCCGGTTTGCCAAAGCGGTCGAAATCCAACATGGATATTGAGTGCATGGATATTGAGACTCAAACTTGGTGGTTTCCCCGAATCACTCTTGAACTTGGATGTTTTTGAAGTTAATTGCATATAGAAAACAATCCAAAACGGTTTGGTTCTTGCAGTTCCTCTGGTTTCACGGTGTGGCAGACACTTAGTTCTTCAACCGCATGGATCATGGATGACATACTGTTGATGGAGAAGATCATAGGGTCACGAGTCTTCACGCCTGGAGGAAGATGCCTGAACAGCTGGTCGCCTCTACGTCTCCCATGTACGTCTCTGTACAAAGAATCCCCAAGCACTCAATGGATCTCAATGGACTGGAACAGTTGCCATAAACGGTTTTAAAAAAAAAACGTCATAAACAATCTATAGGGTGATTGCCAAGTCTTCCATGCTGACTTGCCCACTGTGGAATCCCAACGAATCCCATCTTCTTCCATGGAATATGCCTAAAGTGCGTTTTGTTTTTTTGGCCTTTGTGGCTGGTGTCCTTTCTTTCTCATGCTTCCGAAGCCAGTCTCCCCACATGTCTCCGCCCGCTGAGTTCCAGCTCGGGTTTCTTACTCGGGGGCTGGATCAGGTTACACGTGAACACGTCGGTGCTGTTCGAGTCGCCTCGACTTTGCGATGCTTATGAACAGATCCTCGGGAGCGTGGAGTCGATCGGGCCGATCCTTTTGGGTAGAGCCACGCATGGAGACTGGAAGAGGCGACAGAAGTTGGACACCAAAGCTACTGGAGACTGGAGATGCCCGTCTCCCGGAGTGACCCCCCCCGGTCCACCTGGCGACCGGGGGTCGCCGACGTTCTCGGCGCATCCGTCGGAGGTTCCCCCCCTGGGCTGGACGGAGGTGTTCGCAAAACCAGGCTTTGAAAGATGTGGTGCTTTAAGCGACACAGGTCCACTTGTGCAGAAGCAAAGCCAGCGAAGCTTCCTTTCGTGGAGGCCACCGGGTATAAGTCCATGAATTCCTTGCATTCGATGAAAGATTGAGCGAGCCAATCTCAACACCTGATCACCCTGCAATCTGTAAAAGCCAAGGCATGTGTTTCTTCTCCCAGGATTGTATTGCGTATGGGGAGTTCGAGTTCACCCCTCCCCAGGCAGCTCGAACCGCTGGTTGCCCAGGATCGTCCGAGCCTGCTCACAGCTGGTCACTGGCGCGCCTTCGGCCTTTTCGAGGCCGGGAGGAGTCACCTGTGGCGGCCCCGATCTGGCGGAAAAACGGCGCCGTGCAGGGCCAGACACGAGTGTTTGGCTGCGTATTCTAGGTTCCATAAACATCCATGGGTGGTTTTATATTTATAAGCTATATATTATAGGATTCATCATAGGGTCATCAATGGGCCTGGGGTGCATCTGTAACTATTCTATACGATGCATGGTTTGGGACCTATCGGATTCTGCGCAATGGGATGGACATCTAACAGAAAGAGACGAGTTGGTTGAGCAATGAAACAGAACCCGTCAGGAAAAGTAAAGGAGAAAGCGTTGTGGGGCCCCAACACCAAGGGTTGACACTGGGCCATTTGGGACCCATTCCTACAAAAAAGCTTGAATGACTGACGAAACCAGTACAGCTGGCGTGAGTTGTTGGGCCTTTCCAGGATATGCAAGTAGACAGTAGACATGCCAGCAAGGACCGAAAAAGGACAGGATCCAAACGTTAAGTATTACGTTACTTTGAGGTACTTGAAGTACCTCCTGCCATGGTGAATTGTTCCAAAGGTGTTGGTTTTTGAGCTCAGATCCCACTGACCACTCATTCTTAAAGGGACTCGGACCGCGTCTTCCCACCATCCATCCGGTCCATCCGCCTTCCTCCGCGGACCGCAGCTACCGCGCAATAACGGCTAGGCGTTTGGCGCATGCCGAGCAGATCGTTCAAGGGCTGTGCCTGGCCGTGCGGATTGGATGGCACGTGCATCACGGCATTGTGGCTCCGGTGAAAGAACGAAGGTCCGAAGAGTGGGGCGGCGGAGGATGGGAGCGACGAAGAATGAGGATGGCAGTGACTGAGTGACGTGCAGAAGAATTGGAGAGAAACTCAACTGGTGTCACTGGGGGAGAAGTGTAGGTTACGGGGAAGAGGCTGAGTAGATGATGAATGGCCTCAGCCTCAGCCCTCCAGAATCCATCTTTGTATCAACATTGGCTTTAGTCAAAGCCTCTCTGAAGCATTTAACTTTCAGAGTCTATCTGTCGGGGTCTTGAAAGCAAGCCCAAGGAGGTGCATGCAGTGCAGGAACATCCAATAATCCAACAATTTGAGTGCAAGTCCAAACAAGAAATTATCAGTTGATGGAGTGCCCCCATTCTGCACCTGTGAGGTTCAAAACCCGCTCAGCAATGGCATGTTCTCCATCATGTCCAATGTTGCAGGAGTTGTTTCCATCAAATGATGTACTAGTAAATGATACTATTGGAACCCCCATTAAAAGGACATCTCGGGGTGCCAGTGCCATCGAACCGAAAATCACTTGGACCCTCCGCGAGTTCCTCCTCCTCGTAGGAACTCCCGGGGGGTCGACGTCGACACGCCGCCGTTTGAGGCGAAGCATGCCGCGGGTGGGCTCATCATGCTGGCCTTGTGCCCCACCGCCCACGAGCCCTTGCGCCGTACCGCTGTGAGGCAGCCACTTGGCAGTGCAGCTTGGAGCGCCTTTGAGCGCTTCAAGGAATGCTGACATCGTGTTGGCTCTTAAAGTCCCCAGAGTCGAGGTGCAGGTCTTTGAACATGTTGAGTTTTTTTCTTCGGGGTTGGTTCATCAAGCATCCAACATATAAATAAATCCTTTTGCAAGGACTCCATGACGTCAACCTGGTCCAAGCACGAACCCTTTGGGAGCTTTTGTCTTGACTGACTCTGAACTGGAGAAAGGTGGGGCATCTGGAAGACAGCTGTTGATGACTACAGGTGAACCCCCCCGCAGACTGACATGTGACCCTGAGAATTGACCTTGGAAGTAGAAGGAAGTAGACCATATTTTCCTCTACAAGACTCTACAACCCAAGCTGTCGGGTCCATTGTGGTCCTCAATTCACAAGGCCTTCCATGTCCACGGATCCTCCGCCCGCCCGGTCGTCGGGGACGTCTGGAAGAACGACGCCTCTCCCGGTTCCGGTGCGTTTGGGATGGAAGACGAAGGGGCCGGACCGCCGTCCGAAAAAACATGAGAGGCACTGTCATTACGTTCATAGACAAGGACCATGTGATGTGGTTGAAGACAACTGCCTCAGGAAGTAAGAGGGTGCACTGTGACCGTTTCTTGCTCGCTCAATTGTGCCGCAGTGAAGATATCCCTAACCCAATGGCACTCTGCCGAAGTGGCAAGCTGTTAAATTTGTTTGTCTTTTTTTCAACACATGTACATAGAGAAGATTCCAGGTGCATTTCTTTGTTTAAAGATTTGGCTTGTAGATCATAACTACTGAAATTGCTAGGGAGTTTGAGTATTTGTTTGATCCCAACCTATCCACAATATCCACAAAGTAATAGTTACTATACATAGATTTATCTCATGTATGACCCTAACATATTAATATATAAATTAATGACAATTACATACAATTACTATATATATATACACATATTAGACTTACCTCATGTAGCAATGTATGACCCTAACATACCCTAACTATTTCATGGATGGTCTGGGAATGGACCATTCAGGGAATGGGTGGCAATCCCGCCCGCCCAGATCTTGAGGAAAGATCGCTGCGACACACGACACCACGAGGACTTTGACCTTGGTTGTGTGTTGACGTAAAGCTGGAAGACCCCCAGAAGACTGTTGAGGTGTTGCACATTCCGTATGAATTGGTGGTGATCAGCCATAGCAGAGCCATTTTAGAGGTCACCCATCGACTTACCTACACTACTATATATTATGATATAGTGGCTTCATCTATGTTCCAATACCTCTCTATAAAGTGAGAGGGTCAACATGTGTTATAAATGGTTTTATATAGAGTCTCAAACAGGACCCCCTACCCCATTTTGTAACATGGATGTGGCTTCCATGACAAACACGTAAGGTCCAGCCTTGGGAGATGTTCCGAACATTCCAAGGCGAGGTGCCAAGTATCGTCAAGTCATTGTATCATGTCTCGCCGCGATCTCCGCCGCTGCGCTCACATCTCCCTCACCAAGGCTTTTGGGCGGCTTGCTGCGATGGCTCCTGGAGCGCACAACGGGCAGCGATGGCTGAAGTCAACTGCTTGGGTGCTTTGCTGGCTACTCTAGCATCAACATTACAGTAGCTGGAATGACTGGGGACTGCTAAGATATGTTTGTGAGTCATGGCAGACCCAGGTTTGCCCCTCCGAAATGGTGGATGAATGCCAACCTACCATTGCTGGCATACAGACCAAATATGATTGAACTTTGATTGGTCATCAGTTATGAGTTAGGTAGAACCAGTGGTTCCAAAGACCAAAGCGATCCACCCAACGAGCGCGACCCACGGTCCGGCTGCCGGCTGCGTCCGCTCCGGCTGGCGGACCACGACCATCCAGGACGCTCGGCCGGAGCCGGAGAGCCACGGCGAGGAGATTTGCGGCTGCCGCTGAGCAGACAGAGTGCCCAGGGTCCTGCCCAGGCTCTAGTTACTTTAGATGGTTGGTTGGTTTTGTTGGATGTGTCTAGTTTGAGACGGGGTGGAAAACCCCCGGATTGATACAGAAACACCCCACATTGCTCGCAAGTCAACTTGAAGCCTTCAACTTGGAGACTTCAGACCCAGACACTCCATGTATATGGTATATTTACTTACATTGGGGTGGTTTGGGATGGGTCAATGTAGGCATATATATATATATATGGCATACATGGAGTGTTTGGGAGAAGAAAGACCATTCATTCTCACAGGCCCAGTCTTTGAGCATGACGCTGGTGCCCAATCATGTTGTTGCTCGTTGGGGGGTGCACCAGTGTCAGTGCCCCTGGTGCACCTTGCCAAAAGGGGCAACAACCAGATGGATCAGGATGGACACCGGGACAGCTGAACCTTCCGGAACTGAACCTTTGAAACCACCAGGGACATCGCTCTCCCAACTGAGACTCCTAGGCAACTGCTTGGTGCCCTGGAAGGCAGCGGCCTGCTTCTTGGAAAAGCTCTTGGAGCCGCAAAACAGCCTGGTGCAGCGTCTTGGAGCCGAAGCTTCATAACATGACATGTTTTCGGATGGCACAACCAAGGGTCAGGGAGTCAGGGCGTAAGGACACCTTGGACTTGGTTGGTGCTGTTTTTCTGAAAGACGGGCACCTTGAAGAACGCAGTATGTTCTGGACCTCGAATACAATCCCCTATGGCTCCAAGTACCCTCTGAGAAGGTGCTTGGGGTGGGTGACAGGAGTGTCCAAGTACCTTCTGGTAAGGTACTTGGACCTCTAATGCAATGCATGAGACATGTCATTTTGTCTAGCGTGGTCGGGTCAACTAGACTGGGGCCAATCAGCTGCAAGAAGTGCACGTATCTCCAGGAAGCCCAAGTTGGGTGTTCAGGTAGTTTGAGGACCTGGGCTCCACCTGGACTTTTCAAGGATGCACACTCCTCCGTCGGCACCCCTTCAACCCCAGTAGCCAAATTTCATCCCAAAGTCAATAAAATGACATCGACCTGCGTATCTTGACTACTCCACTTGTTTTTGGTGCTATATGTGGACCCCAGCATCACAAGCACGTAGTTCCAGGTCCCAACTGCCGACCATCCCAAATGGCTGGCTTTTTGGATGATCTTTGGACCCCCCCAAAACACCAAGATCTTGCCTCTTTTTGCCAAGGCAAGAGTGTGAAGCTTGGCCAGTGTCTTGGCGGAAGGAACTTCGTGGTGAGGACACGGAAGACGCCAGCGCTTGGGAGAAAAAGACACACGAAGTTCGTGCTGCCACAAAGTGACCTGAATGAAGCTGTTGGTCGTTCTGGCCATGGCAGAACAAAAATTATTCGTTCAGGCTGCAAAATCTCACCTACCATGACCTTGATCTTCCTAAGCTGGGGCCCAATAGAGCAGGCATGGCATCATTTCAGCTCTATAATATTATATATATAGATTATACAGCAAGCAACAAGTGTCCATCCCACATGTTGCCCAATTCGCTGGTTGCTGCTCAGGATTCGGTGCAGCTTTGCCAATGGCTGACTCTTTCTGTGCGCGATTACCACGCCACTCGCCTGCTCAGAATTGGTTGGAGCAAAGCCGGTGCTTGGAATTGGCTGTGGGTCAAAACCTGGAAACTCAAACCTTCGTATATAGCTTGACCTCTTTGGAGGTCGTCATGTTCATTTTGAGTGGTCAATCCGGTTCGATCTGGAACCACTGCCATAGATGAAGTCATATGGAGGATGATGGGAGATCTTACGGAAGTGTTGAACCTCAGAATAGACCCAAGGCCCCCCCGGTAGACCTGCCAAGGCAGATCCAAATGACCCAACAACACATGATTCAATGATTAAAATCATTCAAGAGCTCTATACCAGCACCTTCCAACAGGTCTCGTTTGGAGGATTGTTAGGCCCTAACAGGTTTCAATTGGTGACCTGTTGGAGGTGCTGGTAGAGACATGCTCCCTCCCCAAAAAGGGATATCAAAGCACAAGACTGAAGAGCTTACAAAGGGTGATTCTTCGTTGAGCAAGCGATGTATCGGCACCCACAGCACCTATAAACACGCTCTTGTAGCTGCTGGATGGATTTCAAATGGATTTTGATTTCCTCTCTTTGGGTTACTATGGCCTATGGCATTTTCTTTCGCAGACCAGCATCAAGCGTCGTCCCCCTGCGCCTCCCGAAGGCGACGCCTTTGGGTTTGGTGGCACTGCTGCAAATGCCTGGCGTGGCTCAAAAAGCCATGAAGAGTCAAGCCAAGGCACGCGACGAGACCGCTTCGCGTGGGGAACGCGTAGACAGGGACGGTTTGTGCCCATTCGGTTTGTGCCCACAAAAAGCTTGGAGTGTGGTGGTGATGAAGGCCCTGTAGTGATTTTGGATGTGGATCCCACACCCTGAAGCCAGCTTAGTC